AACGAGCGTGAAACGGAAAAGGAGGGACCCTCTCGTACGGGTCCTTTTGTTTTTATGGAAAGAGCATGATGAAGAGTCAATCTGCTCCCCATGTCGGCTACTATTAGACTACAGCCTGTGTACTCATGGAAGGGGGTGCTCAAGCTCTTCTCTTGCATAGCAGCCAGAACTGCTAGTAAACCTAAAGGTAATAGAACCATGCTTGCATTGTTTACTACCACCACTGACTTTACTAACTGAGAGGAAGACCATTTCATTGGTCTCTCATTCACTTTGCCCTAAAATGAAAGCTCTGTTCTCATATACTAACCATCATGTCATTCCATACCTGAATGACTTTCTTCTGTGGAATGCAAAAATAAATTTTAAAGAAAGTTTTAACTGTTTGTAGGCTTCATACCATGAAAGTCATGAGTCTAAAACAACATTGAACATCATTGGACAAAATGCTTTCATTGAATGGACAATATAACACTGAAACGTTTTCACATGTGACATAAAGCAGAAGTCAATCAATACATTAAAAACAGTCATATGTAGCATACCCTTTTTATGTATAAATAAGAAAACCAATCCATTCACACAGTTGCTGTCCTTTGGGCCTCTTCTAACGTTCCTGTGCTTTCTACTGTGGACAAAGAAGGGAAAGTTGTCTATTTTGAGAGACAACACTTGTTATTTTCTTTTCTCTGTTTGTTTTAAAATGCCGATTTCCCTCCCATCCTTGATTTTCTTTTCTTTGTGTGTGTTTGTGGAAAGCTTGAGTCTATGGCATGGAAGCGTGGCTTTAATGAAGCTGTCATCAGATCTGCTGTGTGCATTGTACCAGTGTTTTGTACTCAGCTGTGCTTTTATGTTCACTCCATTAGTTTAGTAGTGTAATAGTGTAGACTAGGATGCACGTATAGGTTTTGAGTTGCTGTGGGGGGGTTGAACTTTAAAGTGGGACGTTACAGTGAGGGCAAGCTGTGACTCGTCTATCTGCTAAGGCAAATCTGACTCACAGACTGGAGGATCATGTATTTCTGTCTTGTATATGGGTAGATGAAAACACATTTTCATTCTCTTGATAAATACATATATTATTTTTAAACATCTGGAAATAATAAAGAATAATCTGCGCTTTATCAATTTAAACTTCTCAATTTAATAATGCAATTTTGAGGTTAATTAAAAATGTAGCCTTCTTCATGAACTAAGTCGCAAATTTTAATTAAAGAAATGTATTTGTTTTTTGTAAACAAGATTTTCCCAAAAAAGACACCTTGTGTAAATGTTCTTTATAGAAAAATAAATTTGTAATTTTTAAAGGCTCCATAGTTACTTCAAATAAAATGTCTACAATGCATTTTTGAGTGCATTGTATGCGTTTTTTGAGGTCAGATACATGACTATTAAAATTAAATGTTGCTTAAAACTAGGACTGTGCAATTAATCGAAATTCAGTTTCGATTTCGGCCTCCAACGATTATGAAAATATAATAATCGAGATAAAACGCTTATTGCGCCCCATTCCGCTCCCTTTCCAGCAGTGCGCTTTCATTCCTCCATAAAAGCCCATTTTCATGTGTAAATCAGTAAAATCATGTAGTGTGACTTTTGCAAAATGGGAGGTGTTTGAGTTATTAAAGTTGATTAGATTTATTACCGTTTTTAAAAGCGCGAAAGAGAACTTGCGCTGTTCCTCAGGAGGATTGCGCTCAGAGACAGAACAGAACACGGACATGTGAAGTCATCTTTTAACTGAACGTGTGCGGCTAAACAGTCAAATAAATGCTAAAATGTGTCAAAATGCGGCGCTTAGTGATTATTCACGTAAACCCTCGTTGGTTATGTAATAAATGAATGTAAACAGATGAGAATGAAAATATGTGTGTAACAGTAAATTGGATCTGTGCGGCTTTTAAAGTGACATCGGGCTATATTCCTGCTGCCGACTTTGTGCTTCATATTAATCAAACAACAAAAGACAAGGACAAAATCACTCGCTGCTCTTCACAGAAGGTCTTTTGTAGCTTAAATAAGAAACAAAGAAAGTTTAATTCTTACAGTGAAGACTATGCTGTTTTATTTTACATTTGATTATTCCATTTCTATAGGCTGTTAACTGAATACTTTAGACTTGCATTAAAAAATGGTTTGGTTATATGGCCCACTAATAATTGTTAAGTAACCGTGATTACAATATTGACCAAAATAATCATGATTATGGTTTTTGTCATAATCGAGCAGCCCTACTTAAAACTAGTGACTAGTTACCACATCTGAAATCATACATTTTCCCTTAAAATAATCGCCTTCAAAAAATAGAAATTTTAACATAAAATTTTAAATGTAAAAAAAATAAATCCATGTCCATTTGTCAACTACCCACAGTACATTTCTATGCCTTTATCTTATCCTACATTTTTTTTTTTTTTCCTCAAGCCAAAGCTTTTTTCTGGGGGCTAAATGGCTGCATTCGTTTTTTGTATGACATAGAATTGATCCCGAGATCAATCGTGTGCATCGTGACAGGTCACTGTATGACTCATGAATGGATTCATAACTTAATCATGAGGTTCTCATACTAGCAGCAGAGTCAATTACGATTGTTGATATCAAAACAAAATTGAGTTTTCAGCTTTTAAGTCCCTGTTGGCTTTTGGTCATGCTGATCCATGATATTGACCATCTGCCAGATTTAGACTTCTATATCTCTTAAACTGCTGAATAATTTCACCAGATACTTTAATGCATATTGATAGACCTTCCATTTTGAATGGCTTCTGATGAAATATTGAAGTGTGGCCTAATGCAGAGAAATCAATGTGAAGCCCAGACGCTGTTGTGCTGTGCATTAGTCCTGCCCACCATGAGTACCAGCTTTAACAGGCTTCATGTTAGGAAGGCTAAAAATTGTATAAAGCTGTATTCATAGGGCCACTGAAAGGAGGTCGGTTGGAGGGGTGTGTCCATATAAATATCTCTACATCATGGTATGAAGAAATATCTGTTCTACTTGTTTTGTACCTGTATTGCTCCCAGTTTCATTGACTCTTCTGTTATCATAATTTATTATACAGTTGCTATAGAAAAAAAAAAAAGGTTGTGTTATGTTG